TCCCCAATTAAATCTTCAAAATACTAGGTGGAATCAAACTAAAACTATGGTGACATATACGATCTAAATCTTAAAAACTGTGAGTAAATTAAATTGTGAATCAAAGATGGGTCAAGAAATTTGTTTGTAGGAGCAAACATAATAAACAAGCTTCCTTGAAGCAAGCAAAAGAACTGAAACGTATACTTGTTTCTGTAATTTCATCTTCACTCAACATTGAAATTTATGTATTATGAACCTTTAAAATGAAGAAATCATTCAAAGAAATTTACTTAATACAGTTGAACATGACATATGTTTAGAGCACAACGAATTGGAACAGAGAGATGATAAATTTATATGGTACAACAACATACAAATTAAAAAATAAATTCCGTAAAACTTTAATACAAATTTGATATATCTACAACATCATATAAACTAAAAATAAATTTTATAGAACTTATTTATAACTTATAAGCACCTTTCATACATGCTAAAAATAAATTTCATACAACTAATTATATATTATACAACTTATCTACAACTTATCTACAACTTTCACACATTATTTCTACCCAGTTAAATACAACTACAATAACATACAACTTAAATATAAATTTTATACAAAATTTATACAATATGTCTTTTGTATATTTTGTATTTGATTTATACATAGTAAAAATAAATTTCATACAACTAATTATATATTATACAACTTATCTACAATTTATCTATAACTTTCACACATTATTTCTACTCAGTTATTACAACTATAATATAATACCACTTAAATACAATTTTTATACAATATGTCTTTTGTATATTTTGTAGCTAATTTATACATAGTAAAAATAAATTTCATACAACTAATTATATATTATATAATTTATCTACAACTTTCACACATTAACATACAACTTAAATACAAACTTTATACAATATGTCTTTTGTATATTTTGTAACTGATTTATACATAGTAAAAATAAATTTCATACAACTAATTATATATTATACAACTTATCTACAATTTTCTTACATTATTTCTACTCAGTTATATACAGCTACAATATCATACAACTTAAATATAATTTTTATACAATGTTGTTCAACTTTCATACAATAGTTAAATGAATAAAAGAAAAATAAATAAACAACAGAATACTATTTTTCTATAATTTCACTACAATTTCTACAATATAATGTATGTCATGTCTTCTTCTTCTTCTTCGAGTTTCAATCTGAAATTCAGCCAAAACCAAGTCTAATCTTCACCAAAACCCCTCAAAATTGAGATACAAACTCCAAACCATATTCCCAATTATTTGCAACAACACCCAATCCAAACAAATAATAATTTTTGAAAACCCAAATTCGAATTCAAAGCTTCAAAGCTTTTTAATGGCTGTCAATGGTGGAATTGCTGCTCTCTTTTCCTTTGCTTTATATTACTGAAATTTGGGATTGAGAGATAGAGAGAGACGTAGAGAGAATTCTCAATTCTTTGCAACAACATCCAACCCAAACAAACAACGTCTTTTGAAAACCCAAATTCGAATTCAAAGCTTCAAAGCTTTTTAATGATTGTCAATGGTGGAGGGGTTACAAATTTTCACTGATTTTAGAAGAGGAAATAGTGGGTGATTGAAGAGGAAATTATGGGGTGTGGTTTGATATGTGGGTGAGGGGGTGGGATTTGGAAAGAGAAACTTGGAGGGAGTGGGAATATACGGTAGAGTTAAATTAGGACACTAATTAATACCATTACAACAACAACAACATACCCAGTAAAATCCCACTAGTGAGGTCTGGGGAGAGTAGAGTGTACGCAGACCTTACCCCTACCCCGAAAAGGGCAGAGAGGCTGTTTCCAGGAGACTCTCGGCTCAACAGGAAAAGGCAATAATATCAGAAGAGAAACAAGAGAAAAGACATGTAACAATAAAAGATACCAGAAAGAAAATAGCCACAACAAATAAGTGAAAAGACAATAACACAAAACACCAATGTGAATACAACAAAGACCGCTAAACAAACCTAACGAAACTCTAACAGACTACCCGGTACAAAGAGGGAAGAACTCTCGACTACCCCCTAGCCTACCACCCTAATGCTCGACCTCTACATGTTCCTATCAAGAGCCATGTCCTCGAAAATCTGAAGTCGCGCCATGTCCTGCCTGATCACCTCGCCCCAATACTTCCTAGGCAGCCCTCTGCCTCTTCTCGTACCTGCCAAAGTCAACCTCTCACACCTCCTAACCGGTGCATCTAGGCTTCTCCTCCACACGTGTCCGAACCATCTAAGACGCGCTTCCCGCATCTTGTCGTCCACGGGAGCCACGCCCATCCTCTCCCGAATATCTTCATTCCGAATTTTATCCAGCCTAGTGTGCCCACACATCCATCTCAACATCCTCATTTCTGCTACTTTCAACTTTTGGATATGTGAATTCTTGACTGGCCAACACTCATCTCCATACAACATGGCCGGTCTAACCACCGCTTTATAGAACTTACCTTTGAGTTTCGGTGGCACATTCTTGTCACACAAGACTCCAGACGCTACCCTCCATTTCATCCACCCCACTCCTATACGGTGCGTAACATCCCCATCGATCTCCCCATCTCCCTGGATAATTGACCCTAAGTACTTAAAACTTTCTCTCTTGAGGATGACCTGTGAGTCAAGCCTAACTTCCACATCCGTTTCCCCCGTCACGTTGCTGAACTTACATTCCATATATTCTGTCTTAGTCCTACTCAACTCGAAACCTTTAGACTCTACAGTTTGCCTCCGTACCTCCAGTCTCCTATTAACGTCGCCTCGCGTCTCATCAATCAGAACTATATCATCAGCAAACAACATACACCATGGCACCTCTCCTTGGATATGGTATGTCAATGCGTCCATCGCCAGAGCAAATAAGAACGGGCTGAGCGCAGATCCTTGGTGTAATCCTATAGCCACCTGAAAAGGCTCGGAGTCACCTCCCACAGTCCTAACCCAAGTCATAGCTCCATCATACATATCCTTTATCGCCATAATGTAAGCCACCGACACACCCTTCACCTCCAGACACCTCCAAAGGACGTCCCTAGGGACCTTGTCATATGCCTTCTCTAGGTCAATAAACACCATATGCAAATCCCTCTTCCTATCCCTGTATAGTTCCACCAACCTCCTGATAAGGTGGATAGCTTCCGTAGTAGAACGGCCCGGCATGAACCCGAACTCGTTTTCTGATATAGACACCGCCCTCCTTATCCTCATTTCCACCACCCTCTCCCAGACTTTCATGGTATGACTTAGTAACTTGATACCCCTATAGTTGTTACAATTCTAGATATCCCCTTTGTTCTTGTACACCGGAATCATTGTACTCCACCGCCACTCATCAGGCATCCTCTTTGTCTTGAAGATAACATTAAACAGCCTAGTCAGCCACTCCAAGCCCGCCCTACCCGTATATCTCCAAAACTCTACTGCAATCTCGTCAGGTCCGATTGCTTTGCCCCGAATCATCTTACCCATAACACCCATGACCTCCTCAACCTTAATGCGCCTACAATACCTAAAGTCTCGGTGACTCTTGGAGTGCCCCAATTGCCCTAACACGATGTTTCCATCCCCCTCTTCATTCAGAAGTTTATGAAAGTACGACTGCCATCTTTGCCTAATCTGGGCCTCTTCCATCAATACTCGACCGTCCTCGTCTTTGATACACTTCACTTGATCCAGATCGCGAGCCTTCTTCTCTCTCGCTTTGGCCAATCGGAATAACTTCTTATCCCCACCTTTGCCCCTCAGTTCCTCATAAAGCCGACCAAAAGCAGCAGTCTTAGCCTCTGTGACCGCTACTTTCGCCTCCTTCCTAGCCTCCTTATATCTTTCTCTGTTCGCTCTCCTTTGATCCTCGTCGGTGCTCTCTACTAACTTAATGTACGCTGCTTTCTTGGCTTCTACTTTACCTTGGACCACGTCATTCCACCACCAGTCGCCTTGGTGCCCGCCATAATAGGTATATAAAAGGTAATTATATTAAAAGTTAAGCATGGAGGGTAATATAGTTTACTATATGGCATAGGAATGTAAAAATCTTTTTTTCAATTATATTTGCTGGATAATTGAAAACAAATATCTGAACTTTGCAAACATAGATTCATAGTAGTAGTAGTAGTTTTTGGACCTTAGAGCTGATTTGCTTTGACTAATGAGCTGCCCCATTTCTATTTGGACCGTAACTGATTAGCTTTGAATGTGGACTGACCCAACTCTTGTGGTTGTCATAAAGGAGGAAGGGAATTTTTTCCTATCTATACCATATAAGAAACCTTATTACCAAAAATGTTCATAATTGGTTAATTACCCGCCCAGTCCACAGTTTTACTACAATTTATATACCAATCCATAATTAGGAAGATTCTCCCATTTAAAACGCGCTAAAACGAAGGCACGAAATCTGCGTTTGATTCTTTCCACATTAAATACGAATTTTGAAACGTAAAGAGATCTCATTGCTGCGAAATACTCACATTCACTACAATTCTAAAACAACGCAAGCTTCAGGAGCTCCAGTACTCAATTTGCTTTTACAAATTCTACAACGCAATACAAATTGTAGAATTCAAAATTGTTCTTCATCGACCTCAGTACTCAAATTGTTGACCTATATCTGTTCTTCATCTCTTTTCTCTCAACTACACTAAATCATGTCAAAAATCCCAATAATGCTAAAATTGAATGGAAATTGGGATAACTATGGCAGATTTAGAGATTTTGAAGTTGATGCCATTGTGGTAGATGAGAATGCAAGCTACGGAATTCTGATTTCTACAATTGCAGAACAACTATCGATTGATACATCGGGTAAAATTGTAGAAATCAAATACATTGTTAACGACAATTGTCCTCCAATCGAGATTAGGAATGATATGGGGGTTCGTGTGTATATGGAGACCAAAAAGGACAATAAGAACTTAGGTTCGTATCCTTTATGTATAAGCGTAAGAGATTTCAATATGGAATTGGCAATCACCAACAATAGCACAAGTGCAGGTATGTTTAATTCGACATTGCAGAGAGTTATTGTGTTAGTGTGTTATCTACAATATTACAACATTTATCTACAAATTAACTACAAAAAACAATGTACTGAAGCTCATAAAGCAATGTCGTTTTCAAAATTATCTGCATAGTTACTACATTTATATCTATGTTGCTGCAGGTTCGTCTGGATCACTAATGTTACTTGAAATTCCATCCTCACCAGCTATAGAGGAATATCAAAGTAAAATAATAACTGAATCTACGCAAACATATATTGAAGAAGGACAAGTTTATCAGGACAAGCAAACTGTAGCTGCTGCAATGAAGAATTTTTCTGTGATGCACAAGTTCCAGTTCAGAGTAAAAAGATCAAGTCATAGAAGGTATGGATTTATTTGTGGAGAATAGATCAATAAAAGCAGTGTCTTAGTGAAGATATGTGGTTTTTATACATTGTAGTTAAATTGTAGTTAAACTGTAGTTAATAGTATTTTTGACGAATTTGTGTTAAAACAGTCCTTTTTGTTCCTTCTTCATCTATAGCCTGTATTAAATATTGTATTTTTTTTGTAGCTACTGGCTTATATGCATTGATGAAAACTGTAAATGGCACTTCAAGGCAACGTCACATGATTCGGCAATGTTCAAGATAAGGAGTTTCAGCCGACAACACACATGCTCCTTAATGGACGAAACATTCGTACATCGCAAACGTACTGCAGCTGTAGTTGGTAGCATGGTCGTTCCAAAGTATTGTGATCCTAAGACTGTTTACACACCAAAGGACATACAAACTGACATGTTATCCGAACATGGACTGAACCTAAGCTACATGCAAGCATGGAGAGCCAAGGAAAAGGCTTTGCAGTTTTTGAGAGGGAATCCGTCTGACTCCTACAGAAAATTACCCAAATATTTTTATATTCTTGAGGAGACATATCCTGGTTCTGTTGTTAAATTGAAGAAGGCAGCAGATGATTGCTTCTTATACGCATTTGTTGCTCTTTGTACATCAATAAGTGGTTGGCAACATTGTAGGCCAGTAGTAGTTGTTGATGGGACATTCTTAAAGTCAGCCTACAGGGGGATTATGCTTACAGCAAGCACCATGGATGCAGCAGGTAAAAAATGTAATAATTTTGTAGGCAGTCTGCAAAATGTAGTTAAACTGTAGTTGTATCGTAGTTATTTTGTAGTTAACAGAAAAAAATGTAGATAAATTGTCTATATTATGAATATATATTGTAGTTGTTATTTAAATATATTTTTATATACCTTTTCAGGGCTGCCAATTAATATTTTATGAATTAAAAATGTAGGTACTATATTGCCCTTGGCATATGCTGTGGTTGATTCTGAAAACGACGCGTCTTGGAAGTGGTTCTTTGAGCAATTCAAGGAGGCATATGGTGAAAGACCTTCAATGTGTGTTGTTTCAGATAGGAATGAGAGTATACTGAAGGCAACATCAATTGTCTATCCGGGCATGCCACACTACTCTTGCATGTGGCATATTTGGACAAATATAAGGTCCAAATTCAAGAAGGGACATCTACAATTACATGAATTGTACTTTGCTACAGCACGGTCATACACTCTGGATGAATTTAATGAAAGGATATTGAAGATTGAAGAGGTTGACCCGCGTGTGAAATCTTACCTATATGATATTGGCTATCATAGATGGTCAAGAGTACATGCAACGGTGAATAGAACTTTTACTATGACATCAAACATTGCCGAGTCGTTGAATGCTGTAACAAAAGAGGCAAGAGAGCTGCCAATATATGATCTATTAGAGTATATGAGGACGCTTCTTGAACGTTGGACGAAAGAGAAGTTATTGAAGGCAAAGGGTACTTTCACATACCTTGGGTACAAATTCAACAAAGAATTGGATGACAACAATACATTATCTCAGAAACTAAGGGTAAGATCTGTTTGTTTGGTGGGAAAAAAAATAAATTGCTTAATATGCATTGTTTCCAGAATGTAGATAAACTGTAGTCAATTTGTGAGTAATTGTAGATTGTAGATAAGTTGTAATGTATTTGTAGCTGATTTGTAGGTAAGTTGTGGATAATCCTTTTTAATGATTGATATATTATTATTTCTGTTTGTTCTTCAATTGTAGGTGAGGGCTTCAACAGATCATATACATACTGTGTTAGATGGTGTGAAGCGGTACATTGTGTGTCTAGAAAACAAGAAATGTAGCTGCGGACAATTCCAACTTGATGAACTTCCATGTGCGCATGCTTTGGCAGCATTAAGGCACAGGAAGGAAACATACGAAGACTTTGCTCTCCGTATTACACAAGGAAGAGCCTTCTGCTTACCTATGAAATGCCAGTAAATCCTCTTCCTGATGAAAGCAAATGGGATGTGCCACAACATATTTTGGATGAGGTAGTAAAGCCACCGGCGGGAGATAAAAGGCAGCCAGGGAGACCTCACAAGGAAAGATATAAAACATTTGATGAAATAAAGTCAAAGAAGTACAAGGTGTCATGTGGAAATTGTGGAGGTGAAGGGCATAACAAAAGAACTTGCAAGAATGCGCCCAAAAAGAAATGAATATCATGTATTTAGAATAGTTATTCAAAATAAATGTTAGTGAGTTCAAATTATCCGAGTTTTTTGTGTAATCGTTCAAGTTTTTGAAGATGATTATGAAGTATAATACAATTTCTTTATTTGCATTTAATATGATTTTATGTATTCTGTCAGGCATCTTAATTTGTCATTTTTTATAGCTTAGTTAAACTTTAATATTTACTATATACAAAACAACTGATATTAGTAAAGAATTTATTCAATGTAAAGTACTTCCAGATTGTAGTTAAAATATACTTTAAATGTAGTCTAATTGTAGTCCTGACATTAATTTGTAGATGATTTGTAGTTAAAACGTATTTTAAATGTACTTAAATTGTAGTTTTGTTAAAAATTTGTACATGATTTGTAGATAAATTGTGGATAATTTATTTATATTATTCCTGTATTTATTTCGTCTTTTGGCTGTGTACCTTAATTACAAATGACAGTTATATACAGAAATTACCTAGAACTTGAAGGTATTTCAACAAAATTACTTGAAGATTAAAGGCGAATTTTATTTTAGCAAATCAGAGTACTCGCGTTTAATGTAATGAAGATAAAGTGCTGTGAACAACCAAAATGATATATTTCCTACAGTATATTCAACTTCAACTACAAAATGACATCAACTAAACTAGGAACACAAGACTCTATTTCTTCTTTCTCTGTACTCTAGTCCTCTCATTTTTAGCAGGAGCACCCTTCCTCCTTAATAGCCTGCCTGTAACCTCACTTTCACTGATTAACCCATCTTCTTGCTTCTTTGTAGCATAGTCCCATAGTAGAGCTCCATAGCGTCTACGGTGTTGATCGATATCGGAAAGATCTTCTTTTGGGATTGACAAATCTCCAAGGCTAACATACTCCGCAAAAGCCGCCACAAATACACCACAATCGCTGCATAAGATCAAATTTTTTCATTATGTAACAATTGACTAAAAGAAAATAATTAAACATATAAAAAGTGAGAATAGTTTTTTTACAGTGATCCTTCCTTTTGCTGTGGAATCTCCGCAACCATCCACTGTATGTTGAGAGGGTCTATAGCTGGTTTCTCAATGTATGCCTTTGTGGTCTTGAAGTCAATGTCTTTACATTTCCCGTAGAAACCAGTGCAAGACAAATACAGAGGATAATGATTGAAAACTTATCAACCAATGATTCAACAGTATTATGACGGTTTGAAGAAACCATGGAATCATAAACATAAAGTTGCCTGTCCGCTATGTCGAAAACGAGCAACAACCAATGGAAATTCTCTACAATGTTCACAGGCATGATGACATAGTCAACTACATCCCAGGAAACATTAACAAGAAGTCTATACCCAAGGATATATTCTGCAACATCATCATCTGATTTAACAACCGAATACTTAAGTTCTGGTGGAGAATTTATGAACTTGTCATAGATTCGTTCAATCTTGGTCTTGAACAAGCAATCGGTTGTTGTGAACCGAATGTCGTTGTTGGGGCCATACTTGCCTCTTTTTCTCAAATAATACATAATAACATCAATGTGCTGCAAAATAAAATAAAGTCTACTGTAAGCTACATAGTAACCACAATTATCTACATAACAGCTACAAATTAAACTAAAATTTGAACTAATCAAATAATCTAACAGATTGCTACACTTTAGCTACTATACAGAGGAACAAATGCAACATAGCAACTAACATAAGGTCTCAAAAATAACCAAATTGAACCTAGAGTTAATATTATAAGTCTATGTAAATTTCTCTACAATGTTACTACAAAGTAACAACAATTATGGTACACAGGTATTTCCAATTCTGTCCAAAGTACCAAAAAATCCAAATTGTACGAACAATCATCATCAAATATGAGACATAAGGTCCAAAAAAGCACAATTACACAACTGAAGACAAAACATAGTAACCTATATATCTTGTCTACAATATAACTACAAATACACTACACAGCTGAAGACAAAACTATAATATAACCAGAATTACACTACACAGCTGAAGACAAAATGCATATTGTGAATGATTCTGTTCTTTATACTTACCGTGTTATTGATGACTTATCCTGGGTGAGCAAGGGCATAAAACCAGTCCTTCTTATCCACCTTTTCACAACCAAGGTCTAACCAAGGCTTGATTTGGTTATCCTTTTTGGAAAAGTATTCTTTCCTCCTGTAATAACAAAAAAATATCAAATAAAAAAAATGACAGAATGAATTACATATTTAAAGTTTAAAAATGGTGAAATGAAAGTGTAAAATTAAGCATTCATACCTCTTAGATGCTTTGTCACTACGAAGGTATAACCAGTTGGTGAACCTTTCTATCAAATCAGCATCTACATTTTCACCTATAACAGTTGTGAAGGGGTGCTTGAGGTAGAAAAATTTAGGTCCGACAGAGGTGCTGCCTCCAGAACTATACAGAGGTGTGGAAGGTGATCGTGCATGTTTCCCCGGTTGTCTGGTTCTACCCGGATGAATAGGGGTTGCTTCATCTGGTATGGGCTCGACATACATTACCAATTGTGTTAAGTTGTCTAGCAACTCAAAGTCATCCAATGTCAGACCTTTCTTGTCAATGCCTGAACCTTCAGGAACAAGTTCATTCACAGTCACACTGTGAATTGGCGACCGTGGAACGTTATCTTCAATATCTGTTACATATAAAATCACATACTTAACAGCATTGTATAAGTGTATAAGCAACAATTATCTATTCAAAAGTATATTATGATACTATACCTGTTTTTTCTACCTCAGCTCCTTCCTGAAATCCTGGTTCTTCCTCAACCATTGCTGGCGCACCTCCAGGAGAAACTTCAGCTTCTGAAGATAAATGTAGATGTATGTAGTTATGCACAATATTGTAGATATAAAGTAAATATAATGAGCTTCTGATATTATACCTGCTTGTTGTGCCTCAGCTACTTCTTCAAATTCTGGTTCTTCCTCAACATGTGGTTGCACATGGTCCGGAGAAATTGCAGCTGCAAAACATAGTGAAAAAGGTGTTAATATAATTAGATAATGCTTTCTTGAAGTTTGTAGATATGTCTGTAGGAATTCTGTAGATACCGGTATTGCTTGTGCTTGCATGCACTTGATCACCAAATATTGAACTAAAATTGCTGGTTGTTCTCTCGTTGTTGTTGGCCATTATTTTTGGTTGAACTACCAGCAAACTACAATTTTTGGGTATGTTTAAGTATACTTGTTTCATATGTCATAATTAGTTTTAGTACAAAAATATATGTCAATTCTTACCTTTGACTCGTCCAAATCATACTTGTTGTTTATCACCTTCATAACACTCTTCACAGAAACATCTATGAACTCTCGAAGGCTTGAGAGTTCCTCAAAAACAGCCTTCCTAAAATTATCTAACTTTCCATCAACCTAAAGATTAAAAATATAGTTAGTTGGTAATTTAATTCAAACTGCTACAGTTCTAGTACAATTTAACTAAGATGTGTGCAATACCAAAAGTTCTCAATATAGAATTATACTACAACTTAACTACAATGTATAACATACAATAATTGTATTGGAATGTAGATAAATTGTAGCAAAAATGTCAATATATTGTATTTATTTATATTACCTGCTCAATACCTTTTTCTAACTTCTTGAGCTTGCTAGTCACAGATTCAGTGTCCTCTTGACAATCTGTATGTTTTGGTTCAAATGTTGGAGAAGCATCAATTGAAACCTGTGATGATTGAGCACCATGTTCATCTTCATACTGAATCTTGTCTGGCAGATTAAGCACTCCAATCTCTTCTCCAGATTCAGTCATGCCTGTGAACTGAATGATGGAAATAACAGTTAGTTCAAGTAAATAAAAAATGTAGATTAATTGTAGTTATTATGAAGGTAAATGTAGCATCATACAAAAGTGAAAAAATATACCTTGAGCCACTCAGGCTTGATCATCTTCTCTTCAATTGCAGTTAACCAAATCTGGCCCTTTGTAGCTGACCATCTTAAAATGCGAGGTATAGATTCAGAACATCGCGTAGCAAGCTCCGTGCTGACAGACGAGCAACACTCATATAGCCACACTTGCAAGGCTAATGAGCATCCCCGTATCAGATAAGAATGTACATGGGGATTAAGACGATGTCGGACAGATTCAATAACCTGCTTGAAGGATTTGATACCCCATGGGTATGACTCAAAATTACCAGACTCTATCAGGAAGAACATAAACTTGTCTATGAAAGACACATGGTCTTTATCAGAAGGACAAACAAAAAATTCCAACAGATAAAGAATGCACAACCTCACTGCATCCTCATCGTTTGCCCAAACTTTATTTGTGACTACATTTTTCAAATGCCACTTTTCAACCCTTTGTTTGTTCGAAAAATAGGTAGTCATTAAATGGCTAACATAAGTGGAAGTGTAACCATAGTCTGAAAAATTATTCACACTATTTAGACCAGTAATCAACCCAAATTCTCTCAAGGAAAAATTCAATTTTTCACCCTTCAATAGTACTGAAAAATATGAGTCAGTAGACTTTGACAATTCATACTTCATCAGAAGATGAATTGCTTGGTTTTGCATACAGATTGTGGGGAGACCAAATAAGTAACCAAAACAAGTTTTTTGGAAAAGCTTTAAAGCATTTGGAGAGAGTAAAGCTTTTATCTGGCTAGGTATGCTCGGATCACACAAACTGTGGAATCTAAGCACACCATAATCAACATTTTGTGGTGCAAAGTAATGGCCATTCTGCAGAAAATAAAAAATTATTAAATATTACTAGTTTGCATAAAAAAGAAGCAGTAATCTACATATAACTACATGATAACTACAAAATACAACTAAAAGAAGAACAACCTACCCACCCCTATAACTACAAAACAATACAGGACATCTACACATGTAAACATTATGTCAAAACTATAAGGAAGAAAAGGGTAACCACAGCTCTATAACTACAAAAATATAACAGTTAGTTCAAATAACTCACAAAATGT